AAGAAGTTTGCCTTGCTTGGGTGGGTTAATGATCCACTCAGTGTTAGCTCAAAAAACACCCAGCGCCTGCAACCTTGGGGAGCTTTCTCCAAGCCATTAAATAAAATGGTACAGGAGTTGACAGTAAAAACTTTAAAGTTCCTGGTTCAAAAACAAGTCACTCTTATTTATGAAGAAATAAGTCACAGGCAGATCAGACAATGAAAGAGAGCGGCGGAAAGACGTAACGAGGTTTTCCAAAGGGGTATAACCAACATTAAAATATTCAGTCCCTTTTCTTTTGCATCTCCTGCTTGCCCTAACACATCTTTTCTTCTCATAGGAGGTTGATCTAGTATAGCAGCGAAGGTAACTAAATCCCTGCAGATGGGTTTCCAATCTAGAGACCCTTTCTTCTACAAAGACCTGGTCTGGCTTTACAAATCGGTATGGAAATCTTTTCACGCACCTGGGAAACTGTGGACTTGGGCACTTATCAGCACAGAGCCACTCAAATGCACGCTGTTTTACAGCTAAGGGAGCCCAGTCCCAGAGCCCAGGGCTGTAAAACAGAGCTTCTCCCCCAGGTGCCACCGCAGGGTGCAATATTAGCACGGTGAGATGTGCAACATCTACACCCGATTCACAAGGGATGTCAAATCAGTGTCCAAACTATTCTGACTTATTGCAGTCTTTGAATTTTTTTGCATCAGAAACTGTTACTTCTCAGTAGCCCCAAAAAAATGAAAGCAAGCCAAGAGGTGCCTCGAGTCACTGCTGTCAACACATGCAGAGCCAATGTTTGAAGCTACGTGCAAGCACTTTGTACTTTATCCAGTCAAAATAAAAGTGAAGTGCCTAAATGCCAAATGCCACTTTCCAATTGAAAGCAGCAATTAAAGATACATATTTTTTTTTTTTTTTTTGCAAAAATCTAGTTGGTCTAATAGAAGATATCACCTCTACCCCGTATTTTGAGTCCTTTTGCCTCTAGACCAATATGACTACAACCTGGATACCCGACACTTTCCAGCTGAACCAGTTGAAGGAGGTGCTGCGCGATCGCCTGCGACCACGCTCTCTTAACATCACCTGAAATAGTCCCGGTCTGGACAATGCAAAATAACGGCGCAACTGCACAAAAAGGCAACTCATTCGTAGTCCCGATCCACAGCCACGGGGCTCTCCGGACTTCAGATCAGACCCACAGAAACGTGGTCTCTTATTAGTGTTTGCAGCACTGTCACACAGCTGGCATGGAGACACGGTGTTCGTACAAAGCCGAGGATTAAGAGATCATAAGCTGTGGGTATACACGTTTAGACACTGCAAGCGTTGTACAAATTTGATTATCAAGGCTCTCGCAATGTATAGTTTTGGAAGTTTTTCTAATAGTTCCCAAATTAAATCACACAGAACTTTTTTTTTTTTTTTTTTTTTAAACAATTCACCTTTACATTAAAGTTTTCCACAATCGGTCTCTTACTAAAGGTGAATCCAGTCCCCTTTTCATCAGAAAATAAAGAAGCCTGAGGCCGGTGATATCCCCAGTTGGGAAATGAAGGAGAGGGAAACACACTGGTCTCGTAAGGAAGAGTCAAGGCTTGTTCCTCCCCAAACTCAAAAGGTCCCAGTGAAAAAAAAAAAACACACACACACACCAATACAAATGCCCGGGGCGGACACATACCAGGGATTGGCACTAAGCTCCTAGGCAGAGTCACTGCGAGACAAACCCCTTTTGCCCAACCGTGCCGCACCTCCCTGACAGATTCGGGTTTCTCTAGTGTAGACAAGCCTCAG